CCGAATTCCCGGATGATATCCTGCAAGTCGGCGGGAACCTGGCGAAGAGGCTCTGTTGCCGGCGGTGGAATGCATATGACGCGGAGTCCGGCCGCGTCGCGGGATATCTCGCGGATAGATGTGGATCTAATTTCGGGCGTGGATATGCCTTTCAATTTATGGGGTCTCCCTTCCCATTCAAAAGCCATTTCCAGGGTCTTCCAATTGCTCTGAATGGTTCCTAAAGTCTCCAGCCACTGAATGCCCAGTACAATGTCAAATCCAGACAAGGGAAGAGCAAAAAGGGTTACCGAGAATTGAATGCCGTGTATATTGAGAGGTACACTCTCGTGTTTCCCTTGGTACTTTAGAGGGGCACCATTTGCGATTTTGACGTTGAAGGCCGAAATAGGTGTTCCAGGGAGCTGGAGAGTGTCTGCTGTTCGTGCGTTGATGAAGTTGTGGGTGGACCCACTATCAATGAGCGCCACGAGCTTGGTTCGGCACACTGAAACCCAGACTTTCATCATTCGGCCCCCAACTTGCCCCGCAATGGCGTGAAAGGAAACCTCTGCCGCTTCGAGGGTTTCTTCCTCATCGTCCACTTCGTCCAGCAACATCATCAGTCGTGGCTTCGCACATCGGTGAGTCGGCGTGAATGTTTCGTCGTAATTGAAGCATAAATCAGCTGCCCGTCGGCGATTGATCTCTTCGTATGGTATTCGTTTAGCTCCCGGCGGCAGTTGTGGTCGATTCCGATTCATCTGCGGTGGCTCGGCGACCGGTCTTGGCCGAGCGGCCAATTGAGCATCGAAGGTTGAAGATGGCTTCGGTCTCGGGGGAGTCGTGTAATCCATTGCTGAGCGAAAGGGTTGGCGGGGAGGGCTTCGGTATCGGGAGAGCTGGTCATCTCGAGCGCGTGCTAGATTGATAGCATCCTTGAGAGTTCTGGGCCCGAAGATGCGGATCCCATCAGCCACTTCTGACTTGAGGCCGCCCATGAACGTACCCACCAGCGCATGTTGAGTCCAGCCGTGGACCCGATTCCCAAGTCGTTCGAACTCCGTGAGGTACTCCGTAAGAGTCCCCGTCTGACGGATGCGAGAAAGAGCTTCGTCGAAACCGGTGCCTACGATGTCTCCGAAACGAGTCCACAACTCAGAGGAGAAGGTTTCCCATGTGATTCAGAGGCCCTCGGTCCGATAGGTACGACGGAGCCACTGCCACTACTGGTTGGCGTCGCCCTCGAGGTGATACGAAGCTAGGTTCGCCCTTTGCTCTTCCGGGATATCCTGGAATTCAAAAAATTGTTCGACCCGGGAGAACCAGACGGTGGGATCGCCGCTGGCGAAGGTGGGAAATTCCAATCGCGCGAGCTTCGTTTCGAAGAAGGGTTGCGGATCACGTTCTTCTTCTTCCTCAGCGATCGTCCTGCGATGGCGGCCATTGACAGATCCGCCGCCTTCAACGGAATGCTGATCCTCGTTCCGGTTGGTTCGCTCTTGTGCGATCTGCGTCAATGAAAATTGCACGGCAGCCACCTGATCGACGAGAGCCTTGAGGGTAGCTTGTTGTTCTTGCGCGGTTGTTTCGAGAGCTTCCAAACGATTGGCGTGGGTGCCCATTCCGGGCTCTGATACCAAATGGTAAGGGCTGAAATTGTAAGAGTGGATAGCTCCCTTTTCTTGGCAGGAGTAGACCAGTGCTCTAATTTCTTGGCTAGACAACCAGTGGGTTCTTATGACTGAATCATTGCTTGCCTTTTACTCTCCCATACGAAACCTTAAATACACGAAGATGATGAAATTCAAAACAGCATGCTAAGTGGAACTACCACTCAATCCTACCCGACTGATCCTATTCTACCTCCACTTAAGGTGGAGATGATCCTTATTCCAACTACTGCAACTACTGCTCCCTAACAACAGGGGCGGACTCAATCAACAACTAATTATAATAACTCAACGGCAAGCTTGTGACTCCATCCTGGCAGCTACAAGAAATCGCGGTAGCGGGAGTTGGGCTGTGGCACTCGAGCTGAATGGCGTGCGGGCCTTGTGGGCCTATCAAAGAGCTTCACTAGTAAGGGTCATTGAGTAACTGATAGACAAGTTGCTGAACAAGCCATTTACTAAGCTGAAGACCAGCTCTTTCTATACGAATCTTTAGTTTTTTTTTTTTTCTAATGAAGGTTGCTCAAATAAGATAACTTGGGTATGGATTGAATTAATATATGAAATAATGAGTTTCGCCTATATAAAAATGTATTACTTTGGTGTAGTTTCATTGTAGATTTCGAAAACTGAGGAAGAGTAAACATCGCTAAATCTCCCACGACGTAGCAGTGGGTATTGATACTATTGTGAGTAATTAGTTGGTCGGTTAGTTGCTAATCTTTTTGAGCGAGGAAATCTCATGTGTATGGACATGCTGATGAAATAAATGCAGAGGTGGCGAAGCTGGGGGAGGAGTGGTACTTCTTCAGCCTGAGGGACATGAAGTACCCGACGGGGCTGCGGATCACCGGCGCCGGATACTGGAAGACCACCGGCAAGGACAGACAAGTCTACACCACCACAGGACGCCAGAAGAGCAGTAGCAGCTTGCTGTTGGGGATGAAGAAGACGCTGGTGTTCTACAAAGAAGGGCGCCCAAAGGCGAGAAGACCAAATGGGTCATGCACGAGTACCGCCTACAAGGACATTTCTCCTACCGCCACCATTCCACCTCCAACGATAATGGCGACCTCAAAACCATATTAACCAACCCAATTAATGTCGATGATTGTTTTGGTGGTGATCACAGCAAACCTCGTCTTCTCAGACAATGCAAGACGGAGCTGGCCGCCAGCGCAATTGATATAAATGATCAGCTCTGGTCATCCTCGTTATCACATGATAACTTTCAACTCCCTCCATCTGCTGCTGCTGCCGCCGCCGACTTCCCCAACTGGGGATGCTATCAGGATCATCGAAGAATGGCAGCGATGACAAATAATAATAACACAATGCTGCAGCAAAATCCCTTCTACAGCTTTTTTAATCAGGACGATGACTCCACTATCAGCGACTACACATCATCATCATCAGCCGTTGCACTTCTCGGTTTCCAATCTCTTGCAGCTCCGCCTAATATCGCTTTCAACAAGTCATCTGGCACCGGTGCTGTCAACTTTAACACGATGATGTCAGATACGGCATCAGCTCACACGGCTACTCGATCACGTCTTGGAGATTCTTGGTCATCGTTAATGGCCGACTGTCACAACAGCTGGCCATAGTGATAATTAACTTGCTCTCTAGCTAGCTAGAAGATTTAGAAGTAATATTCTTACAATCTACGATGTGTCTATAAATATGATCACTGTTCTAATGTATTGACTATGCGCTTAAGCATGGTGCTAATTTGACTCTATCGGCTCATTTAGAAGGGCTATAATGTTTCAGAGCAGCTGCTATTTATTTACCCCAACATATAACAAGGCTCAACACTGGCTGCAACCTGAAGCTACAGGCAACATCCAGATAAGAACTCCCAAGCTATCACCCTATGTATGCTAGTGCCTCATATCAGAGTACACAAATTAACTTGCAATCTAAAAAAAAAACTAATCTGCAGGAATGAACATCGATCGGGTGAATGTTATCCTTACTTCTAATTGCGATTGCAAGTAGGTAGCTTCTGGTGTGTATACCACTCTAGCTATAGTTCTTGAGTGGCATCCATCTAGCCCCTGAAAAATGGATCTATTTGAGAAGCCACTGTTCCATGGCTGGATGCCAATAATCACATTTTCAAAGCCGATTGACAAGTCCAGCAGAAAGGAGGATAATAACACAAACAACACACTTTCATTCACGATAAAACTGCTAGCTCACAAGAAATCCAATTATCACATCCCCACTACAGCTTTTATTCCATACCTAACATTATCAAACAGGCTGCGCATCCGTCACTTATAATGGAAATTCGCCTGCACAAGACAGAATGACTTGCGGTCAGCAATGTACTAAGGCCTTGTTTACAGTAAATCATTGTATCATGGTACATCTCTGCTTTGTTTGCTTCTCAAGACATGAGCCCTCTATTAGTTTTACCAGCTGCATAACAGCAAAAGAAGAAGAAGTGCAAACTTCTGCGTATGAAGGTGCAAAAAGAACGTACAATGGCACAGCCTAGGTCCTAAAATTGATCACTGTAGTCAGTATACAAGACTCAGGGATGAGGCACCAGGCTTACTTACTATAGAAGTAGTCTCTGATTCAAATAATCATTAGACGCACAGAACAGAGATGTTGCAGGAGGCAAAAAATAATAAACATTCTAAACAGAAAACGAAATGCCGAAAATAATTTTAACCTAATCTCATCGTAAGAAACAGATAGGCTCACAAATCCTAGGACATCCTCATGATATTCACCTCAAGGAACTGCCTTCAAATTCTTCAATCGAAATACGATGAATAAACAAGCAAAAGGTGGCCCGAACCCATATATATCCCACGCTAGCTCTCCTCTCCACACTCAAATCATTTGTAAAGAAAATCCAAGTTCAATTTGGATTGATCCAATTCAGAGCTAAACAATATCCTATAGCAGCGAATTGTGGGGAGGAGAATTCAAGTAGCTTCGATTTTGAGCGAGTGTAAGAGAACCATCCCTATATCTGAAAGATAGCTGAAAGTTACGTGGTCGTCTTCGAACAACATAGGGATTGGGTGATGGCTACTAAAATATCCTAAATGTAAAAGATACATGAAACATGCCAGTAGCCATTAGCCAAGCCAATTCTTTGCAACTAAACATCACAATAAACGAACACAGCCATCGCGGAGAAACTAAACGAAGCTAGATTACCAATAGCTATCACTGCCGCAGACTCATAGACTAGATGGAGCGAATTTGGGGAGAAACAATAGATTCGAGAGGTTCTCGATGCCTAAACTGACATGGAAGAGCAATTGAATCAAGCGGCGAGAAGAATTAAAGGGGAGGAGACAAAGGCACTATACCCTGACGATCTCATTTGGATGAACCGGAGGTCTTGGAATCGGAGGTGGAGGAAGATGAGGATCCATAGCGCGGCGGCGAATAGAAGAGAGCGGCGATCATGGCTCCCGGCAGAACCACGTATTGCGACAGAGCAGACAGCTTGGACAACAAAGGCTCTCCCCTCATGAACGCCATTCTTAATTCTTTTCTGTTTCTCCGCCCCCTGCTTCAATTTGTCTTCTTCGTCAAGATCGGCAGCTCGGCGCTCTGGGGTTTGTTCTCGATTGCTTCCTCGTCTTTGCGAATCCCAATCACCAGAAGGAGTGTGGGCGGATGGGGGATGCGATCCGGTACTAGTAACACTTACGGTAAGCTAGAAGTTCGCCGGGGATCATGCGGCTTCACGGCATGGCACGTCATCATTCAGTTTCCATCTGACGTTGGGGAGCGAAAGTGATGATGGAAGAGAGAACACGAGCCAGTTTTGTTCGGGCCCGGCCCGTTCACTTTAGTCCGAAACGGCAAGTCATTGTGGAGCTTATGGGCTTGAAACTGAGTCTGCCCGCCACATGGGAGAGTTTAGGGATATGATTGGATATGAACATAATCCACAATCTAATCACTCGTTTGCTTCTTCTTACATTTGGATCAATTTTCACTCATTAAGGATTTTATAAAATTTTGGTTATTAAAATAAAGTTCCAAATTCATGGGTCCATCAATTTGAATTTTTTTTCTTTCCAGCGGTATGAAACAGTTGAACTACGGTTTTCAACATAAAATACTATACCACTGATTTTTCCTGTACGAATTTACGATCCTTGGTTCAAAATTAATCACAGAGATCTCCTCAAATTCAACCACCTCCACATTGCAATTTAAAAACTCTCAAACTTTCAAATTTCATAAAGTTCAATTGAAGAAACGATTATCAAAACAATCTCGATTGAGTCGATGAAATTGTCATGTTGAAACGGGCAAGTGCATATTAAAAGTGGTGGATAATGTACATTAGTTCATCAGCCATTTTGGATGAAGCATCACTATTGCAAAATATTTAATTTTGAGAGGCAATGTGACAAAAGAATTTGATAGAAACATCTTCATCAAATTAAGCTTTTGTTATGGTTAACTAAAAATTTGTGTATGCATTAATTTAATTCATTTGTTACATGAGAATGAACTTTGATTATAAATATAAAAAAAAAAGTCAAGCTTCTGATAATACATAAATAGATACATGAATAAGTGGATTACACAATTAAGAACCTAAGACAAAAATCGTCAGCACCAAAAAGAAATCGAACATTTTAGACATAGGCACATAGCTTATCATCACGAAAAATGCGAAAAAATGCAATAATGTAGCATGGACATGAATGGAAGCAAGGGAAGAGGATAATTAATTAGGACGATTGGCCGCCCTCGCCGGCTAGAGTGGGGGTTGCGCCGGCGCCGGAGGGCGTAGGTGCATCGGTGGCGCCGGGAGTCTGGTTGGGGTTGACGGGGAGGTGGCCGGTGGTGCCATAGCCTTGGCCCTTGTAGTCCTCCAGATTGGAGTACTTCACATATGGACTGCTCTCCATGGGAAGCCCATCTACGTTGGGCTTGGATTGGTCGGCATTCTCTTCTCGCCGGGCCTGGTTCCCGGCCTGGCTCTCGCTGTCCCTCCGCAGTTGCAGGCTGTTCCCACTGTTCAATAGATCTTCCGCTCTGTCCATCGGTTAATCAACTGTTAATCTCACCGTCAATTATTATTATATAATTATGATAAATGGATGTGAATGTGTTCTTGGTTTTGGTTTTGGGAGAGCTCAAGGGCTACGTCTATGTATTCTGCATTTATACCATTTGTGATTTACCCTCTAAGAGCAATGCCGATGGTGTAGGAACTAGGAAGGGGGAATGATCAATGTCCACCAATTTGTGTGTGGTAGCAAGACACATCATACATAAGAGTGTTGACTTCTTCAATGCACTTCCTACCATGTTTCCACAATTATATAATTTGTACGGCCCTCGTTATCCATTTTAAGAAGTCAATTTGACTCAAGAGGAAAAAAGAAGAAAATAAAAGGAGAATATAGTATCCCGTAACACGAATAAGATTGTTGGTGCAAGCTGTCATAAGATTAAGATTACGAACAACTAATAAAGTGTTGTAAGTGTATAAAGATGTTATATTCGTGAAAATAAGTTGGTTTTGTGATTAATTAATAAACTTACACTAAAAAAATAAAAATGTTTGTGTTTCAACGTTTCTCGTTACAACCAGTTCCAAGAAAACTGTTAGTGTTGTGGTATATGATCCACGATTGAACCTCTCCCAACAACTCGAGTTATTGGGATCAACTGGTTCTTGACATGGTATCAGAGCCTTCTGTGACCGAGAGGTCTTGTGTTCGATTCCCGGTGACCCCCATTTGTTAAGCACGTGGTATTCTTGTCTTTAGACCAGTGCAAACTTCAAGCTCTTGTGAGTGCCTTTCGTTTGAGGGGGCGTGTGTAGTATTGTTGTATATGATCCACGATTGAACCTCTCCCAACAACTCGAGTTATTGGGATCAACTGGTTCTTGACAAAAACACCATTAACGCTCCCAATCACGGTACGAGAGTGGAGAGCCATCGATGACTCTTCATGTTTTTCGAAGGTCACATGACATATGCAAATAGTTTGGCACAAAATGACAATTAATGGGCTCTAACTTGCCCATCATGTGATGTTCAACAAGAATCTAAAGCTCACCATGTGCCTCTCCCGACGTTGCTCATGCTCATCCATCTGTCGACTCTAGTAATTACTTCATTTCCCTGCCCTAGCTTGTACACTTAAATCCAAAGACATCAATAACCATCGTATAACCAGTTGATTGCAATAAGGTTTGAAGAGATTTAATTATAGATGATATATTATTTATTAACATGTCCTCTCAAATGAAAATCACTAAATATGAGTTTGAAGTTTGCACAAGTTTGATTATAATGTATTAAAAAATATATGGAAGTCATTGGGATTCGAACAAAAAACCTCTTGATCACAAAAGACTTTGATACCATGCCAAAACTTTATCCGCTTCCCACTCTACCCGAACCCATAAATTAAAACGATATTGTGTTGTATCTAACCTCAACAATATGGATAATTTATAGATGTTATTAGTTTTTATGTCACTGTAATACTAGTAACATGAATAATTTATGGATGTTATTAATATTTTTGGCAATATACTTGTTGGAAAATTCTCAATAATAAAGAATGTGAGTGCGAGGAAAAATTATTTGTAGTTATATCCATCAACCCATTGGTGTGTTTTTTTTCTCTCCAACATATAGTGGGTATTTCACTGGGTTTGTACGCGGATGCATCCACAATGTTGGGTTTGGAGAAACTCGATTTAACCAGACCCATTATCATCCATAACCATGGTGGTATATACAAATATACCATGACGGTAGGAATATATCATGGTGCAAAATTGTGGTACATGTTAGTATGAATATACTAGCCACCATCTACCGTCATCCTACTACCACTATGGTAGATGGCGGTATAGTTGATCCAAAAAATTTGTCCCATACATATTGATGTAACAAATCGACTTATAATGCGTGCTTTCGCTTCGTTCCACCAACTAATTAATGAAGTGCAATGAAGTAGCACATCATTAAGTGTGAGCCTCTTGAGCTATAACAATGGTATATGGTATTGGAGATCTTCAAGCATCCCAAACATCATCATCATTCAAGCCTAGAGGGTTGTACCTTCCGTCTATACACGTCAAAATCCCTCAATTTTTTCAAAATATTGTCAGACACATAATTGTTATAAAATTCGGAGCACTCTGATAAATTTTGGTGAAATCTCTCACCACAATCCCCTATCCAGACTACTCAAAAGTGGTTTTGAAGCTAAACATTTACACCAAATACACAAATGCACTATTTAGATTTGCTGCTTCTCCTTGATTGGAAGTAGGCCTTTGATGCAGTAGGAAAACAACAAACAAGAATTACAACCATAGTTGTAAAGAAGATGCTGACAAGTACTTTAGCTCAACTTCACTAACTTCAATTATGAAGCTAAGATTGATATAATATCCAAGTGATGATTGCAGCATTTAAACTAATAAACACTTCATACTATCTCGTTCGTCCATCATGTATCTCACTTTAACTTTACAATCTCAAATAGGGGTGGGCATTGGGTGGGTCGGGTGGATTTTGACCATAAAATGCACCCACCCGCGCTTAAACGGATTGATAATTTTTAACCCACCACCCACCCACATTTAGTCTCGGGTTGGGTCGGGCGGATGGTGGATGATGCGGGTGGGTTTGTGGGTTCACCCACATCATAATGTATATAATATAAAGGAGTCAATTTGACATGATAATACGTGAATAGAATCATCGAGGGAAATAAGAAGTTGAAATATGGCGAAAAATGTCGAATTAGTTCTTAAATTGGATAGAAATTCTATTATGAAAGTGTTTTCTATAGATTGAGACGATTATTAGGTGCAAGGAACTAAGAAAAATAATTCCACAAAGGAAAGAGAGGTGATCTAGGCACAAGAATTAGAGGAAAAAGTAAAGGGAAGAAGAGGGGATCTCTATTTGGAAGGTTGGCTTTGAGGTTCAAACTCCAGGAGCAGTCCGAGTTTATATCTAACTTCTCCACTCTCCTCTCTCTAGCGCCAACGACTTTGATCTCTTTGTTGTTGGGTTGAGCGGGTCACCCGCACACTCATCCACAACCCACCCACCACCCGGTGGATGGCTCCCAGCGCAACCCGTCACCCACCCACAGACCCACCTACTTAGCAAAATTCGGGTCAAATGCGGGTTGGTCGGCCCAAACCCGCGGATGATCCGCCCGTATGCCCAGCCCTAATCTCAAATATCTTTGTTTTTTTATTTCTTTTCCGTTGTTTCCTCTCACTATTCCATTCAAAACAAAACTTACGGAAAATATCTATTCACAAAATTAATTCAACACTCGTACACATAATCTAATAATTGATGGCAAAATTTTGTTTTCGAGGAACGAATTCAATGCCAATGTTCGAAGTAGACTCTACACCATATGGTCCATTCTTGGACTATCATTCAATCATATCCCCAAAATTTCACATTGTGAAATCATGTGGATTCATCCCATCATAGGTAAGCTTGCAGAGAGAGTATTGGACAAACAATCAAATAATGAGACGGAGACACATTCACCTTCCCCTCCATGATATATGCTAAAGAAAACGTACCATTTCCTTTTCTCCTATGATGAAGTAACATATATTTGTACTTTTTGTCCCAATGCACAAAATATCTATTCCAGCCTTTCGCCATCGACCCTTTTTTCCACTTTTCATCGTCCCACTAATCAAGGGGAAGAAACAGACACAAACCTAAAAACATAACCAATCCCACGAACCCCTCCAATCACTTGCCGCCGAGGGTTCTCTTCTCCCCCCACTTGGAAGCATTGTGTAATAAACTGATAATAGAGTTATTGGGTTTAATTAGTTGGTAACCTTTTTGTCATCATGCTTCTTAATAGTTGGCTAAGCAACAAGGATTGTAGTTTACTATCTATAATCAAACATCAAGTGTCAAGATTGTAGTTTTACTCGAAGCTTTAGTTTTAGATGTGAAGAAAACTAGCTATAGTTTGCGGCGGATTCAGGATATAGTAGAGTACTGGGTCGCATTTGAATAAAAAATGAGATATCAACTAACACTGAATTGGAAGAGATGAACTGGGTCCTGGCCAAGAGAGGCCTCCTTCTAGATCCTCCACTAGCTATAGCTATTGTATGCATCAATTCATCCATGTCAATGTGACTCAAAAAGGGTCACGTAGAAATTTGTAATTGGTTTTTCGATCAACCAACTATCCAATTTAATTCAATCCAATTTAAATTTAATAGTTTTCAGTCCCGAATAATATGAATGATTGTGACCCATAATTATTATTAAAATTTATATACGTTTTGAATTTATAATAAATTTCTCGATCACGACTTTATCACTGCAAGTGATCGATAATATCTCTACCGTTGAAACATATATATTAAAATATATGAGTAGATTTGGTTGGAAGGCACATGACAAAAGCATAGGCATATAATAGATTCACTAGGTAGCCAAGGTTCTCCATCCCCACAACCTTGGCCTCTCCCTCTTCTCCCCTCCATCCATACTCTCATTATCTGCACTTTCCTTCAATCCAAAAACCAAAACAGAATAAAAAGTAAAAACACTTTCCTTAAACAAAAAAGCTTGGTTTTTATTTTTTTCATTTTCGAGACAGATACAGACAAAGTTCCCCTGTTCTAGCGCTCTCTCTTGTCATTCAGATAGCATAGCGCCTTCAGTACTTCAGGCCGCAGTTCCATTCAACTGAACTGAAAAGAGAGAAAAGCCAGCGCTAGGCTTTGCTCTCTTGAAGTCAATTACAAAGGCTTACCACTGTTCATCCTTGCTGCCCGCGTTGAAGGTTTGTTGGCGGGTAACTTCTGGATTTTAGGATCGCAGTTTTTCTCCCGTTGCTTTAGCTTGGGCTAACCATCTAAATCTCGCCGGCAATTCAACGCCAGAAGGTAAAGTGTTCATAAAGATGCTTGCTTTCCTGCCTCTTATTAAGAAAAACCCATTTTCCATTTTCCAAAGCTTTCTCCTAATTTAGTGGGGGGGTTGAAATGGGTATGCATGGAGAAAGTCTTTTAAGGAAGTCCTTCGATTTATATCGGTCTCTGTCATTTTAGAGTCATCTACTGAATAAGAGAAAACGTTGGGTTTTCTGTTCTTTTCTTGGCAGATCCACCAATTCAACTGCGGCGTCTCGTGAAGTTGTTCGTGGTTTACTGATAAAGGTTGCTACTTTGCCTTGTAGTTTTGTGGTTTCGAGTTAGAAAGATGAACGGAGCTACCCTCGTTGCTATTGCTGCTTGTATCGGCAACTTCTTGCAAGGATGGGATAATGCTACCATTGCCGGTAATGCCCATTTACAGAATACACGAAGACTGAAAATAATTGTTAAGAAAAAAAGCGTTCAACTTTATCAATTTGTCCTTTCTTTTCCTAGGGGCAATTGTTTATATCAAGAAGGACCTTAATTTAGACAGCAGTGTGGAAGGCCTAGTTGTGGCAATGTCTCTTATTGGTGCCACAGCAATCACAACATGCTCAGGACCCATCTCAGATTGGCTTGGCCGACGGCCGATGCTGATCATTTCATCATGTCTCTACTTCATAAGTGGCCTAGTCATGCTGTGGTCGCCCAATGTTTACATCCTGTGTTTGGCTAGGCTGCTAGATGGGTTTGGGATTGGCTTGGCCGTGACCCTTGTTCCGCTCTACATATCTGAGATCGCCCCTTCCGACATAAGAGGGCAGCTGAATACTCTCCCTCAGTTCACTGGCTCAGGTGGCATGTTCCTGTCGTATTGTATGGTTTTCACTATGTCGTTGTCGGCTTCACCAAGCTGGAGGTTGATGCTCGGGGTTCTTTCAATTCCCTCGTTGTTGTACTTTGCATTGACTGTGTTTTACTTGCCCGAATCGCCTCGTTGGCTCGTAAGTAAAGGGAGGATGCTTGAGGCAAAACAGGTTCTCCAGAGCCTTCGTGGCATGGGAGATGTTTCAGGTTAGATTTTGCTTGCTTGTTAAGTTTAACGTTTCCTGATTGTGATAGATTTTGTAGCTGAAAATTGAGAATGTTATCTTCAATGTTTAATTGTTGCTTAGGGTCTAACCAATTCGCAGTCTTCATCTAACCTACAATGTGATGTATTGCCATGGTCATGATTATGTGGAATGAATTGTGGATGTGGGAAAGAGTATTTCTTTTTAAGCCTCCCATCACAAAAGACCCTTTTGGCCTACTCATTGTGTTAAATTTTGTCGATGGAATTGAAAAGTGCCTCTAAACCCAAAATGCAATCTCTTGTCATGAGTATGCTTATGTTAACTGAACTCTATGTGGTTAATTGTTCCGTCAATCATATTCCTTGGGATTAAAAGAACATTCTTTCTTTGATCCACAGGTGAGTTGGCTTTGCTAGTTGAGGGACTTGGTCTAGGAGGTGAGACATCAATAGAGGAGTATGTAATAGGCCCAGGAGATGACGATGACCTTGCTCATGATAATCAGGCACAGGACAAATTCAGGTTGTACGGCCCTGAACAAGGACTATCATGGGTTGCCAAGCCAGCGACCGGACGACAGAGCTCCCTCGCCCTCCTTGCCTCTCGCCAGGGTAGCATGGTGAACCAGAATGTGCCTCTCATGGACCCTCTCGTGACCCTTTTCGGTAGTGTCCACGAAAAGTTCCCCGAATCAGGAGGAAGCATGAGGAGCATGATCTTCCCAAACTTCGGTAGCATGTTTAGCACTGCAGATCCCCACCCTAAGCATGACCATTGGGATGATGAAGAGAGCCTGCATGGAGAAGGTGAGGACTACAGGTCAGAGGCTGGAGGTGGTGGAGGGGCAGATTCTGAAGATGAATTGCACAGTCCATTGATCTCCCGTCAGCCCACCAATGTCGAGAAAGACAGCAACTTGGGGGGCGTGAGACGCCACAGCAGCCTCTTCCAAGGACAAGGGGAAACGGTGGGCAGCACTGGGATTGGAGGTGGGTGGCAGCTGGCGTGGCAGTGGTCCGGGAAAGAAGGCGAGGGTGGTGGTAGGAAGAAAGAAGGGTTTAAAAGAGTGTACCTGCATCAAGAAGGTGGTGCTCCTGGATCTCGACGTGGGTCACTTTTATCAATCCATGGCAGTGAACCAGTTGGTGATTATATTCAGGCAGCCGCTTTAGTAAGCCAGCCAGCTCTTTACTCAAAAGAGCTCATGGACCAGCAGCATCCGGTTGGTCCGGCCATGGTTCACCCTTCTGAGACTGCTGGTAAAGGCCCGGTTTGGGCTGCTTTGCTCGACCCTGGGGTCAAGAGTGCACTGTTAGTGGGCATGGGGATTCAGATCCTTCAGCAGGTGCTGATTGATGTGTTTAATCTCCTTTTTTATCTATGGTTATTTCCTTGGCTGAATTTTGCTTTGGTGTTCTTTGGTTGCAGTTTTCTGGTATAAATGGAGTTCTTTACTATACCCCGCAAATCCTTGAAGAAGCAGGAGTAGAAGTTCTTCTTTCAAACTTGGGAATCAGTTCAGAATCTGCTTCTTTCCTCATTAGCGCCTTCACAACGCTGCTGATGCTTCCATGCATCGCGATCGCCATGCGGCTGATGGATATCTCAGGCAGAAGGTATCAGGATAATGTCACCTTTTTTTCTTCTTATAGTATAAATGGTCACTAAACTTTGGGGCCGCTAACAAATCAATCAGTCCCTAAAATTTGATCACGGAACTCTTCACTTCATGTTCGCAGAACGCTGCTCCTCGCCACTATCCCAGTGCTCATAGTCTCCCTCATCATCCTAGTCATCAGCGAGCTCATCAACCTGTCCTCCGTAATCCACGCAGTCATCTCGACAACCTGTGTCATAGTTTACTTCTGCTGCTTTGTGGCAGCCTATGGGCCCATACCAAACATCCTCTGTGCCGAGATCTTCCCCACCAGGGTACGGGGCCTATGCATCGCAATATGCGCACTGGTTTTCTGGGTTGGTGACATCATCGTGACATACACACTGCCAGTGATGCTGAGCTCAATCGGTCTGGGTGGTGCATTTGGGATCTACGCAGTTGTTTGCGCAGTTTCTTGGGTTTTCGTGTTCTTGAAGGTGCCAGAGACCAAGGGCATGCCGTTAGAGGTCATTACCGAGTTCTTTGCAGTTGGAGCTAGACAAGCTGCTGCGGCCAAGAACGAGTGATGAAGATTTTAGTAATGTTGTAACTAAAGTGATAGAAAGATAGGTTCTTTTTTCGCTGATTCTTAATAAGGCAAGAGCCATGTAGTTAGTAGTATAGGTGAAAGTTCATAGAGTCTGAGTACTCGATTGAGGTGATGCTGTATCATTGACAGAGAGCCTTTGTTGGTTCCACGGTGGTGAAAGGTCACTCTCCCCGCAATTTCAATTGCAACAGTGAGAACGAATCTCTGAATTTTCATATATACATTTCCATACAACTGAGCTAGTGAAGCTACAATCCCATACAAAAGTGAGCTACAGCAATTGAAAGGACAGCTACACGGCTTCACATAGCGAAGGACCACAGTGGATTGCAAAGAAACAAAACGGATAGCGCATAATTGGTAAATGGCAAAAGCTACTCATAGTTTCTGCGGTTCATCAGAGGGTGAAGTGCTGTTGAAGGAACTCGACGAGCTGTTAGAGCTGGAGGGACTCGAGTTGCCTTCTTGATTACCCGAGGGATTTTGATCAACGGCTTCATTAGACTTGGGATGTAACTTCAATGATCTGTCGTACTCTTTAGCATTGCCACTATCGATGAAGAACTTATTGAGCTTTTGATCCTGCAGAAGGAAAACCACTCTAGAGTTTATTGAAGACTCAAAGCTCGACAAATGCCTTTAGTCATCCATAAATAACCCACTTTTACCTGTTGCAATGCTCCTAGTTTCCGCTGCAATGCTTCATGCTCGGCCTTAATACGAAACGGAACACCATGCTTTTGATACACGTTAGTTTGAGCCATGCTTTCATCAATATCACTTGCAGTAGTCGCAAAAGGATGATTCGCAGGGATCCATCTAACTGAATCGGGATCAACATCAGGTGGTATCGAATCGCCTTCCTTGAGGAACATCGTCGGCCTCTTCCACTCATAAGCTCTCGACCTCCTCCTCTGATGGATAGCTTGCTCTTCTGGGGTGAGTGTAACTGGGGACAACTTATAAACCTTGCCACACATTTCCACCGTGGAGTTGCTCTTGCCGAGTTTCACATAAGGGTTGTTGAACGGGTCCTCATATTTCAGACTGGAGATGCCTTGTGCTGCAAATGGTACAAAAAAGAGTCTACGTTCAGCTTACGAAATTGGAGGAGGATTCGAAGTTAAGAGTCAGCATCAGTGGGGAGAAAAGGGTCTGGAACCATACATGCCTCTTCTATCAGACCTCAGCTGGCCACGTCTAACAAGATCAGCCACAGTTCCTGGACGATTGTGCTTCGATTTTCGAGTAACCCCAATGTGGACTCTCACAGCAACGAACAATAAGAATGCAGTTGCAGTGGATAACCAGATTACGTTGCTATGACTTCCAGCATATATTTTCATCTGAGACAACCCACGAAGGCAATTGTTACTTGTTAGGAAAGTTACGAAACAAGAATTCTTGCGTTGTGATGATATCAGAAATGTTTACCGAAGAGACGAACGGCGAAAGAGGGGAGATTGCCGCCTGCAATTTGGCGACGAAGACGAGGGGTTTGGAATCCGGGGAATCATTGGCGCTCTCGCTAGTAACAAGAACCTTCTCGTCCTGAGAATCAGGCGGAGAATCATTAGCGCTATCGCTAGTAACAACAATGTTCTCGTCCGGAGAATCAGTTGCTGCTCCTTCCGTCGAGCTACCCGAATCGCTAACTGCTCTCACTAAGCGGCGTCTAATCATCAGGGAACCAGATTTTGGAGGATTGCGCCTCGACGGACATTGGAACATCACGAATTCGGTCATGAGCTGCGTAGTGTTTAGAGATACACGGTGCTTTGGGAATGGCGGAGATGGCTACAGATGAAAGAATGCAATTGAGAACAATAGAAAAGGAAGAGAATCAAAAGCGAAAGGGGATAGTTGCAGTAAGTGTACCTGAATCGAGAACGAAGGCAAATGGAGAGCCGCCATTTCCATGCTGGGACTGAGACTGAAGAAGAGAAGAGCGCCGATTTGGGGAATACGATAATCATTCACTCTTTCAGCGAATTCAGAGCTCTACCAAAGACGAAAATGGGGGATTAGGGTTTAGGAAAAGGATTACCGTCAGGGAGGATGAGGATTGAGGAGGAATGACGAATTCAGCTGCTTGCAGCTTCTCGTTCCTTTCAGAGCCGTTTCTCCTCTAAAACTAGTTAGTTATTCCTTTACAGAAGAAAATATAACAACAAGTGGATCCGTGGCGCAATGGTAGCGCGTCTGACTCCAGATCAGAAGGTTGCGTGTTCGATTCACGTCGGGTTCAATTCCCCTTGAATATCCACTTCTTTTTTCCCCCTATTTTTCCCGACTGATAGTGATTGGGCTGGGCTTTTGTTTTTCAGAGCCGAACCGCTGGGCCAGAAGATGAGACGCCCATTGACTATTGGGAATATGTATGTATTTATTTAGCTTATTTTTATGCAGAAGTATTTATTTAGCTTATCAGTGATATAATGGTTATATTATTATAATTAAAAAGGGGATTTGGGAAAATTGATACTCACTTGCTAAAGGCCATTTTGGACAGCCTCAGGTGGTAATTTATTTAATGTTAATTGGACGGCTCCCAAGGAAATGGAATAAAGAGGGGGGCTCCAAATTATGATTAATTATAGGCTAGCAAACATATGCTATTCCCTGCACCAACACTATCTTTTGTTAATGTTAGGTCAAGACAAGAAGAAGAGAAGAAAGGGACGATTAATAAAAAAAAGATGTAAAATGATGGTTGAGTAGCAGTTGGGAAGAAGATTGGAGAAGGAAGGAATGGGAGGTTTGTACTCTTTTGAGCTATTTTGTCGGGCTTGTTTTTCTATAATTAGTTATTGAAGTGACCAGTGAGAATTCCTTGACCTTACTAATGGAAAGATGATTATTTAGCAACGAATAGGGAATCATTTTAATGGTTTTTGATTGATTTATAAAATGTATCACTACGTGCCATTCAATTCGATCTTGGGGATAATCTCGGTTTATAAATTGCAACACAATACAATGGAATAAGTTCTATAATTTGTTGACCCAAACTTTGTGGACTAAGTGAAGTGGTTGGTTGCTCTTTTTTTCTTTTGTTTTTAAGTTAGTGGGAGAGTTCGATTTCGTGGCAATTAAATTGTGTTATTGTGTATGATCTTTGATATGACAAAGTTGCATTTTTCATAAATCAATTCGTCTTTTATAGTTTTTTTTTACAAAAGATAATCATATATTGATCAGAACAAAATAGATAGTTACATCCTGGAATTCAGCCAGGCCTGAAAATCAAAGGAACGACTCCTAGCCGGGTACATAGAGAGGGCTTTGCGAGCCACCAAATGGGCTACCCTATTACAACGCCGACCTACAAATCGAACACGAAACCTAGAATAGATGTTTAAATAATGCAGAAGTTCCTCCAGAACAGCACCAACCCGGTTATCCCCAGCATCTCTCTGATTGATTTTATCAATAAGCACCTTCGCATCACCTTCAAACCTCACAACCGAGAGTCCAACCTCCACGCACCACAACACTGCCTCCCGGAGGACAAGCAGTTCAACCACCATAGGGTCATCCATATACGGAAGTTGAATCCCTTTAACCAGCCAAACCTCTCGCAAGGGAGTCAGAAGAACCAACCCACCAGCCGAGTGCGACCCTTTCCTCACCGCGCCATCCCACATACACACAACAGCATTCTCCCCAGCAAGACCAATATTCGTATTCCCAGACAGACCCTCCATAGGGGCAATGGTCATGGAGACCCTATACATAGGCATGCGGACCCACTCCTCATACTGTTGGTGGAACTGACGCATCAGAGCAGGAAACCCGAATTGCTTTCCTTCAAAAACAACCCAGTTTCGAGATCGCCAAATACGCCACAGGACAGCCACCACAGGCATCAGCAAAGAAGGCTGGCGAATCAGGGCCAAAAGACGTTTAAGGAACATGGGGAAGGTATGCCGAGGGAGCCCCTCTCCTAGATACCCCAAGCCTGAGTAATCCCAAACGGCACGAGCCACGGGGCATTCCAAGAACAAATGCTCCATTGTTTCCGCACTAGCCCAACAAACAGGACAACGGGGGTGTACCGGGACACGCTTGTCGATAAGGGCCTCCGTGGTTGGCAAGATACGATTGAGGATCTGCCAGAGAAAAACTTTGAGTTTCGGCGGGATGTTTGCATCCCATACCCGAACCCAGTCCTCTTTATCCATCCAACCGACCGTATTCCTCCAACCTCCCCTTCTCTTATCAATGTCAACCGCTAAATGGTATGCGGACTTAACGGTGAAAACCCCATCCGCCGTACCATGCCAGATCAACTTGTCCGAAAGATTCTGCCTCGGAAGGGGGATAGCTTTAATGGCCTTACAGGTAGGAGGATCAAACCATTGACCTAGCTTTTGCTCATCCCATCACCCAACTTCTGGGCCCATAACCTCTGCAACAGTAGGCTCCCCCCCTTCTGGCAAGATCCGAGGATTATAACAAGGGGGATCCATCTGGAGCTTAGGGATCCATCTAGAACCAAGCAAAGACGCAGATTGCCCATTACCAATTTGCCATCTTAGCCCCTGAACCAGCAACTCCCTACCAAAGAGAATACTTTGCCATCCCCACGAAGGGCGAGACCTGGGTGAGGCATCAAGAAAAGACCCCGTGGGGAAGTACTTGCCTTTATAAACCTGCGCCAACAAGGACTGAGGTTCCATCAGGATACACCACCCAATTGTTGCCAGCAAGGCCTGATTAAATTGCTCGAACCGACGGAATCCCAACCCCCCTTCATGCTTGCTACGGCACAGATTTCGCCAAGAGACCCACCGGAGCCGACAATGATCATCAGCATCACCCCACCAAAACCGGGCCACATGCCTATCCAAGAGGCGACACAAAGAAAGAGGCAGCTTAAAACAGGACATAACATGTAATGTTAATGCCAAAGCAACCGACTTAATTAAAGTCTCTTTAGCAGCCCAAGACAAAGTCCTCCGCTTCCAACCCTGGAGGCGCTCAAGCAGGTTCTCCTCCAAATACCGAAAAGTAGCCATCTTGGACCGCGCAATAAGCGTTGGCAGACCCAAGTACTTATCATGGACCCCTACCGCACCAACCCCCAAAATTGCGGCCAAAAATTCCTGATCTGCCCGGATAATATTCTTACTAAAACACACCGCCGACTTGGCCAAATTCACCCGTTGGCCGCTCAACTCCTCGTATTCATTTAGGACCTCAATAAGATTTTCACACTCCCGGAGAGTTCCTCGCAGAAATAAATACGAGTCATCAGCAAAGAACAAATGCGAGATCCGCGGCGCACGAGGGGCCACTTTGACCCCCTCCAGCCTTTTGTCCAAGATAGCCTTATGAAGGAGCGCTGCAAAGCCCTCAGTGCAAAGCACGAACAGAAGCGGGGATAGAGGATCCCCTTGCCTTAACCCCCGGGAAGGAGTGAAATACCCTGCAGGAGTCCCATTCATAAGAACTGAAAAAGAGGAGGACCTGAGACATTCATGAACCCACCCTCGCCAGGTAGAGTTAAAACCCATCTTTTCCAAAACCGCAAGGAGAAAGGGCCATTCGACTCTATCATAGGCCTTTTCCATGTCAACCTTTAGAGCCATGTACCCTTTCTTACCTCGTGTCTTGATTTTAAGATAATGCATTAACTAATGTCCCAGAAGTATATTCTCAATAATTTTGACGTTCACGGATGAACGCATTTTGACCCTCTGAGACAATTTTCGGCAAGAGGCAGGCAAGACGTTCCGCCATAATCTTCGTAATGACCTTATAAACAAACTGGCATAAACTAATCGGGCGCAGCTGGCGCATGGATTCAACATTGTCGACCTTGGGAATCAGTGTAACCATGTATGATTAAAACTCCGGAGCATCCGACTCGTCTCAAAGAAGGAACACACCGCCGAAGTGACCGACTCACCCACGATATCCCAAAAAGCCTTAAAAAAATTTCCAGTGAATCCATCCGACCTTGGCGCTTGCTTTGACCCCATAACAAAAACCGTTTTACGCACCTCGAAAGGGAGAACTTCAGCCGTAAGACTGGCATTCATCTCTGGGGTAACACCACGAGCTATAGGCAGGGAAGCCACTCGCTCTGCCATATTACCCACCTGATTTTCTGTTGTAAAAAGGTTTTGATAGAAGGAAGTCGCAATGCCAGCTTTCCCAATTTCATCCGTTATCCAGTCATCATTCTCATCACGGAGGCCAGCCACAAAGTTCCTTTTACGCCGAGCCCGGGTCACCGTATGAAAGTAGGACGTATTTTTATCCCCTTTCTTCAACCAGTGAACCCTGGACTTCTGCTGCCAGTAAACTTCCTCCGCCTCCCATTGTCGATTAAGCTCCGTCTCCAAACTCCCGGATCACATCCCAGTCAATAGGATGGATCAACTTGACCCGCTCGATTTCACTCTGAAGGGTACGAATATTCCGCAGGGAATTAGTAGTGCCTGCTCTACTCCAGTCGTACAGGAGATGACGGAGTTTTTTGAGACGCTCCCAGAGGCAGAACATAGGGGTGCCCTGAATCTCCTCTTTCCAAACATAGCTAACCATGGCCCGAACTTCAGGATTATCTGCCCAGCGGGTATCAAAGCGGAAGAGAGGGCGGCTATTAGGACTATAAGGTTTATCGGATAAGAGGAGAACTCTATGATCAGAGCCTTGATCCGTGAAATGCTTGACCAAGGTTTCAGGAAACCGATCAACCCAGTGCTGGGAGCAAAGGGCTCTATCCAACCGTTCACGAATACAGGCACTTCCCATTCTCTTATTTGTCCAAGTGAACAGGTCCCCTTGGAACCCCGGGTCATGGAGCCCCAAATTGTGGATAAAATCGCGCAAGCTCGCAGAATTATTAGCATTCCAGGGACTACCCCCATCTTTTTCACTCGCATTAAGGACCGAGTTAAAATCACCTATAATCACATAGGGGAGGTGAAACGCAGAACAAATCTCTTGGAGATTGGCCAATTGAGCAGTTCGAATTGAAGCAGAACAGCTAATATAAACACAAACCACAATATAAGAAAACTCAACTTCATTAATTTGGGAGCAAATACAGAAGCTGGACGA